TACATACCCAACCAGGGATTTTTAAACAATTTTTAAAAAAGGCAGTTGCTAACAAGTAGCTAAACTAGACTACAGAGGTCATCGGTGACTTTAAATATAAATATACGTACAGTGTTTATAATCGCACTCTTGCAAACCATTCAGAGGCGTAGTTCGTTTATAGCCTAATGTTAGCTTTTTACTTCTGGCGTTCACATTCATGCTTCAAAAATCATAAAAGTGGTGTTCATTTGTGAAGATTATCTCGCTGAACACAACGTGTGAGTATCATTAACCTTTGTTTACAAAAATACGTCATCCCTGCAGCGCTCTATTGTTACATTAGATAAAAGAGCTTTGCAGTGGTGCAGGTTTACATAAAAACACTCAATACCTGAGAGAATGATATCAATGCCTCCTTGTGACGTGACTGGAATAGTGTGTGTGTGTGTGTGTGTGTAGCTCTTTCTTATTGCCTTTACTTTTACAAGAGATGGGGTCACAGAGCGGGCAGTCTCAGCTGTGCTCTGATTGGCTATTTGTCGGGCAATGATGTAATCCTCAAGGGAGAGCAGTTCTGATCGATGAGGCTTTATATCTCAGATTACTCCTGATACTGTGTGCGGGGTTGTGTCGTGTGCGTGAATATGTGCATGCACGCTTTTGTGTGTACCTTCTTGTGTGGGTCGACAAGAGATGGTACTGTTAGTTGCTGCTGTTCAGGTTTTTTACAGACAGATGGCCAAAAAACAACATCCCAATCTCTTCGACAGCAGAATCCTGTTGACAAGATCATAAAAATCTGGATGTGAGCTCAGACATAATGAGGGCCCCAAATGTACTTGTTATACTTCTTTTTTATATATTTTATAGTATTCAGAATGAAAGCTTTTCAGAAAACTCAACCGTCAGACCCATAATCTTTATATATACACAGCACGTGCAGTTTAAAGGGCAGCGTAAAAGCCCTCAGTGGGATATTAAAGAAAGTCGACCGGACACAGTAGCATGACATCATATGTGAGAATACAGGTTTGAATTCACTGCCTCTCTAACAGAAAAGAGCGTACGGATGAATCAATGTGAAGGAAACAAGCCAACGGCTGAGGATGTAGATAATCGGCTGTATTCCAGATTTTGGATTATCTGAAAAGAAAGAAATCAAGAAAGGTTACAACAATATTAATTGTATATCCCAGTATGAATTTAATCAATATTTCTGCTGACCTCAAAGATTCCCTGAACCTTAAAAGGAATAGTTTGGCACATTGGGAAATGCTAAGCTAATCGCTTGCTGGCTTAAACTTCGTAGTTGGCTTACAGACATGAGAGTGGCATCGATCTTCACCTATAACTCCTGGCAAAAAGCACATTTCCCAAACTATTGAGAAATATTAAGGAATTCCAACAGAAAATCTATTTCAATAAGTAGATTATGCTGAAGTTATTTTAAAGTATTTGCTAAAGCTAACTCAACCGACTCTGCTGTGCATTTTTCCCTAAAGGACTGCCATATGATTGTGAGAATGAGTAGACATTGTGAGTATATATAGTGTATCATTTCTGTCACCCCATATGTTCATGTGCTCTTTTTCTGCCACTTCCCATGGTGATGTGTTCAGCAATGTAGATATTTGCACAGTAAATATGTAGTTTAATGGATTTTGCTGGATTGTTTTGCTACTTTTTTCCCCCGTTGTTTGTTTGTTCTGGAATAAAATTAGAACTACTATTTCTTCTTTGCTATTTGCCTCCCTTGCCCTGCTTTATATTATAGCTGGAAACCAAACTGTTACAGCCGCTGACATCCACTAATATACCCTTCGATTTTTGTATTAGTAAACTTTACAGACAGGGCAGCTCTGCTTGATGCACTAATGAGGCTTCAGTCATAATTATTCTGGGAATCGACTAACGCATCACTCCATTACTCCATTTCACAGACTTTTTTTCTGCTCTCCTCTGGCGTGTTGACTTGATGGATCAGCATGTGTATGTGAGGAGCAGTGATGGATTATTACGCCCGTCTTAAAGGGTGAACCCCCCCTGAGTTGCGAGCTTTGATTGATTAATTGTAGTGTGTGTCAGCCGGACAGCTATGAGAGGCCATCCTGTCTGTCATGTTAATTACCATGACAGCGTGTGTACCTCTTATGACAGATAATATAGCCTGCAGAGTGAGGCAGCATGATAATAATCTGTCTATCTGTTTTAATGATTATTGCCAAGGCGTGTCACCATGCTCGCCTGTTTGGAAATAAGCAAATGTCTTGAAACCAAAAACATGGCACAATACTTTAAACAGACATGTAACTAAGTTGATATATAAAAATCCCTCTTTCATACTTTAGCTGAAGTTCAAGATATGACAACTAAAAGGGAATGGTATTTCCATATAAACATGAAGTAAGAATACCAAATGGTTAAATCAAATATTTACTGACGTCTAAAAAATTAAATAAATCATGGAACGTTGTAATTATTCTTCTGTCAGTCTTGGAAAAGGGCTTGGCAATCGTCTGAACGTCTTCTTAAGGGTGTTTGGTTTGTATTTATCCTCAGCTGGTGTAAGGGAGAGATTTCATTATGGGGGATCAGTGGGATTGTATTAAATGTGCATTTGGATCATAGATGAAGAATGATTGATATTGAAGTTTGGCTTGAATACCATAAGAGCCCTGAACAATAGCTGTGCCGTGCGGTACGAACTTTTGTTGTTCTCAGATAGTAGAAACTTCACCACATAACTTGATAATAGAGTAATAGGTCAGGTTGAAAATAAATATAGCATCTTTATTATATGAGTACTTTCCACGGACTATTGTCTGTCTGTACAAAAACACTGACGTACCAAATGGCCTCAATTTTGTTTTTATTTCTGCTTGTAAAACTTCTCCAAACTTACTTTCTGTTTTCCTTTAGTCTCTTTAGAAAGGACTAAAATGCTTAAAGCTGCACTAATCAGTATCTTAAGATTAACAGTGGGTCAAAAGACTATATAATGTGCAGTTCCCCTTTCTGCTCATTGTGTTAGTTTTATGGCCTGCAAGCTTGCTGTTTTTGGGTCTTTATTGTGCATCGCTTCCAACTGTTTTTAGTGAAAAAGACTGTACGCTACCTGCCCAGCAACAAACAGACAAAGTTAACAACAAGCTAGTGAAGACTGTGGAACATTTAACAGCTGAAGAGTCAGATATTTGATTTCCCTCAGGAGTTGGAGGAGACCAAAACAGAGCTAAAAAGCGGACTTTATATTGGACTTACAAAAACTTACGAAACTCCAAATGAATGCTACTTCACCTGTTTGCTTACATGTTATCCATTACACATGTATAAGAACAACAACAACAAAAATCAACACTGGTTAAAAATGTTAAATGTTGTAGTGCCTCGCTGTGAGTGACTGTGCTTAATATTTTCTAGTGATGTGAGATGTGGGATTGAGGCTTAACTTTATTAGACAGCACAAATAAACACACAACTCTAAGCTCCATGAACTGTTTTGCATATACATAAGAACAAGCAAGTAAGAATTTGAAGACTGTGGCAAATCCATTTAGGGGCTATTTGTAAGTACCAGCAAGCTAAGATTAATTTGGATTATTTGTTAACATAAACACAACCCCTTTAAGCACTGTTTGTGTAATTACTACAATGATTGTTTCATTGATTATAATCAGTTGAAATTCTCTCCTTTTCCTGAAATAAACACTAATTTAGAAGATGTCTTTTAAAAGATTCTTACAGAAAAACTGACTATAGCGTATGTTAAGTATTGCTGTGACAGTACTGTTGGAAAAATAAACAAAAATAAGCAGAACACAGCAGAGAGAGCATGTTTTTTTTTATCGTGATGTGATTCAGAGGAGAGTTTTGAGCTATCAGATCCTCTCTGATCGCAGCTCTAAACATCAGAAGCTGTTTCTACAGAATGACTCAGTGTGTCTGCCGCTGCTGCTGCTGAACAGGATGATGTTGTTATTGGTCGGATAAGAGCAGGAGAAGTGACAGCGGGTGATGTCTCCCATGGTTCTCTCTCAGTTGATGGGTTGATATGATGCAACGTGAGGCTTGTAGCGTGAGGAGTCCTTATTGTTTTGCCTCTTTCTATTTGTCTCTTTGGCTCCCTGTGTGGAATGATGTTTT